ACAACAACAACAACAACGTACAAAAAAAAAATAGACGAAAATATTCCTCTTACGAGCCATATTTTAGTACCTGCGCAGACACCCTCACAAATCTGTATATATTTTTGATTTGGCAAAAGTAAATTGAATAATGCAATAATGATATCAATGTAATGTTCTTTATACGTCCATTTTAGAGACATTTTTTTGATATTATAGTTTACAACATGGATCATCACTGTGAGATTGCCTACAACTAGTTCATCGATGATCAAGACTTAACCAATCAAAGGTCTATTATGTAGCTGTACTCGACTGTAATGCCTTCAGTTTTGAGTTCGTTTCAAATTTTTTTTTTTTCTACGTCTTCCGATGAATCCCCATTCAAATATATGACATATGATATATTTCTGACAAAATGAGCGAAACTCATTAATTGTAATAAAAAATGTCATATGAATACATATTTCAATAGTATCAGTTTTCATACTGTGCCCGTGTGAACTGAGACCTACGAATGTAACATAGGGAAAATGCGCTGATAATGTACAGTGTATAGTCCATTTTCAATTCTTTGGCAATTGATTTTATTAGAGTATAAATAGAAAAGTTTGACGTCAAAAACACCCGTCAATAACAGAAACATGAATCATAAACGGCGTTCATCAGATTGTTGTACACAATGGATAAAATAGTTCTAAGGTTATCTGTATGTTTGCCTTTTCAATTTTCTTTTCCGTGTATTCAAATGAATTCGATGTTTTTTGTTGGTTTTTGTTTCATTTAAATGCTGTAGTTGGCTAGATGCCTTGAAATCTCTGTCATTTGTGATATCACCGTAGAACTTTGTACAAATACACACAATGCTACATCTGTTCCCTGATAACGCCATGTTTATTCATTGTACCGTGGTTTCTTCTACCAATTACATAGATCAGGATCAGCGCCGCTGAACACTTGAGATGTGTGTTTTCTCGATTGTTTTATACTAGACGGGCTATTTTGAGGGATTCCATATCACCATCGGTATATTCATGTCAGCGCTCCACAACTCGTTTTGTTTACAATACCACCGAACCAGGCCTGGAGCTTCACCTAAACAAATTACCATGTCAACCTATTCTAGAATACTAAACAGTGCGCTGGTAACAAAAAAGTTAAATTATAATTATATTTGATAAATAAATATGCCCCAATTACTAATACCATCTTGAAGACTCTTTTCTACGTAGTACATTCTGATATAAACGAAATGTTACGTAAAATTCAATTCCACTGACATAAGTTTTTATGGTACATGTTCAATATTATTGAATCCTTGTGGCACCTCATATTGACAGAAATTGTTTATTTCTGATCTTCGTTAATTATGTAAGCGCAACCGATAGAAATGTGGTGAAGGAATCACAATCCTGAATTGGTCATTTTGACCCGTATAACTTAGATTCCAAATGCCCTCCGTATACATATCCGTAAACAAGGCAGTGACAGCTGTTATATATCTACACGTTGTCCCAAATCAGTACCATATCTGTGTATAATATTATAATGATTTGTTCCAGGTGGAGAAAAGTCGGTGGTACATGTATCTGTTGTATGTAGATCTTACAGCGATAGGGTCGGAAGCACGAACTTGTCCATACAGTTGATGGCTTGGTACATGTATAAGGACAGAAAAAAACTGTATATTTATTCAGGAGCAAATGTCGCGACGTATTGGCGTGAATTCTACTGTGGCCAATCACTGCTGGCCAAATTAATGCCGAGTGTTTGGAAACCATAAACCATCTTTATTTTTGATCATGTGTTTTGCATTTTAGATCCTTGCAAGAATTCATTCGTTTGTTTATGGATCGCTAGATTTGATTCTGGACTGTCTTATCTTAATCTGTATGGACACCCACTGACTAAAATAAACACATCTATCCCACAACAACATCAAATCCTACCAAGCTATACACATTACAGAGGCAATCTCCTGGGAAACTTTCAAAAAACGTTGCATCAAAATACACGAAGCTCTATGTTGCCATGAATTCGATATATCAGGTTTAAGAATGGAAACTTGTAATTGGTGATGTTTAGTGTGCCTTGGATACACCACCAGTAGTATACGTGTCAACATAAAAACGGCTAGGTGAGCATCTCGGGTGTTATGGGGTAACAGCAGACTAGATCGTTTGTGTGGTAACTTGACAGTTCTCTTTACTTATCTCTAGGCACAGCGACAAAAACTTAAAGGTGTGCCTCTTTGGTTTCTTATTAACAAACTCAACGTATACCGAACAAACTATGTTCATTGTTAGTTTAGTTCAGCTTGATGTGTGTTACTTATTTTGATGTTTATAAAAAAAAATCTATAGTATTAAATTTAAATCAATGAAATGTAAAAAAGTACTGTAAGAAACCTAGACGTATCAGTCCTCCTTTACCTAGAAAAGAGAATATTTAAGTGGATATTTGATGAAAGTTGTCCTGTAGCCGATGAAAGTTTGAACAATTGGGATATGGCCTTGATCTATAGTGGTCATCGAGGTCAGATAACACCGGTCAGTAATATCCTATACTGACCCGAAACTGCCCAGACATAACGGCGACTACGAGTAGTTCACAAATCGGTTTTTATGTATAGATATTATATTACCAATAGATTAACCAAAACCTGAAATCATTGTCACTGACCAGTTACCTGGTAAAGGTAATCGGTATGACACCTTAGTGCACAAGTGTCTCACGTGTAACTGGTAGGTATTCTCACTCGTAAATCAAGTTTAATTGATGCCTTTATAGATATGGAGGCGGATCTATCATGCATTTAGTTGTATTGTATGTGTAATGATATGCACGTATATTGAAATACAGTTTCTCTAACGATTGTATTTGTACTTTCGTTGTGTAAGGCTGATGCATCGCACATGAACATTTCATTAATCTTTTTCAGACACTGAGAAAACCGATTTTAATAGAGTTCCAAAAAAACATGTTAAACCACTTTTTGTTTACCATTTTTTTGCTTTTACTTTTTTTTCTTATGACTTTTTAAACTTTTTGAAATCAGTATGTATTCCAAAAGTAACATTACAACAATAATTGTGGAAAACCATGTAATTACTCCAAACACCAGTGTTTTATTAATTAAGGTAACATTTACCATAATAAAGCCAACACTCGTGATTACATAACATAAATCCTGAACGTTTGGCAATTACTTTGCTGCAGCTAAATGCACGATTGCTTTTCATTTCACAGAAACCACAATATATTATGCAAGCAAAGTATTTTAAATCTGTCAGCAATTTAGTAACATGCTGCGATAGTTTTCACGGGATATTTTACACGTTAACCCGTTAAGAAAGACGATGCATTTCATGTAACTAACAATTGTGGAACATGTATTTTAGACATCAGTTATGTTAATAGACGTTCTGTACTATGTATCAGACTACTACCGTATAATGGGTTATTTACGCGAGCTTAAATTTTCGCGTGTTTGACCAAAAAAAAAGAAAAAATGAAATTTACACGAATTATAATTTCGCGAACTAGACATGTGAAGGAACTAAATTTTCGCGGTGTTTTAGCATAGAGGCGAAATACCGGGCATCTTAAGTGTCAAATGGCATGTTAAACCAATCATCAACAAAACTATAACATGTGTAATATGATCTATTTTAACCATTTTGTATTATTCTTGATGAAAAAGAATCGTTACAACTCCATGCTCGCCATTTCATTACGTCATTACGGTTATTAGGTTTGTTATAGCGGCTCATGTTTACGCTTTTCATATTATTCTGCGGTTCGTATTTTTGCGATCACTTTATTGACCTGCGAAATTGCGAAAATATTATCGCCGCCGAAATATCCTGCTATACCGTATCATGTAGCAGAATTCTTGATATATTGTTAGAGGCTCTGCTTAATAACGTAAGTCATAATTATCTTTAATGTCTATACACATATAGCTGTTAGTGGACGGTTCGTTACCATTTGCCTTATAAGGAGGAATAAGAAACTAAAACACTTCACATTTAAACAAACTCACACAGTATCTTATGTGGGTCATTAGGAAACATATGATACTTATACACGGTAGTGTGAACAACTGCTATCTCAGTTTTAATGTTATCATTCTTAGAAAAACAATGCATATTTGAAATCAAATGCCTTTTTTGTTTGGTTATAAGACAAATATAGTTTGTATTAACACATAATTGAAAAGATATTAGGTATTTAATACTCTATCTGTTCATCCAACCAATCTGAAGCGTAATTAGTATCCGATCAACGGTATCATTAAACTGCCCACCCCTCCACCTATCCGGACGCGATATAACACTCCCCCGACTTTTCACGTACCTCACCTCCCACTATAGTACTCCAAACTGGATTTCTTGTAATAGCCATACGATGTCGGCTACATGTTTAGTTTGATGTGATACGTTAAACGTGTTAACAGGAAACAGAACGGTACAGCTACTGTTTAAACAATTTATGAATAGGGATGTAGCCAACGCGGTAAACTGCTAAGTGTTTTGGAAAGGAACAATTTCGGTATAGCAATACTTGGCTGTGGTTTTTACTGACCTATTAGGTCAATCTTACGTATGTGGTCAAAAAATATGTCAGTGTAATTAGAAACAAAGCGATGTAAACTATGTGCTTACCACGACAGATTTTAGGGTAATGTTCTGACGAGTAAATGTCTAATACTACATACACCTTAAATATTTTAGATTATGAATTTCCAGCCAAATTAATTTCAAAACACATTTATTTTCTATAGCAATCATATGTTTTGCTGGGTTAATATACGGAAAATTCACTGGAAATAGTTTGATGGTCTTCTGTCTGTACTATCGTCAGGATGGAGGGCAATCCAGGGATAAAACAACCCGTTCCTTGTGGATATTTTAAAGTAAGTAATGACAGGTTTTAGCTTTAAATAAGATGGATGTCATGAATTTCAAAAATTCTTGTATATCAAACAGATGATTAAACCAGCAACACGTATGACCTACCTTCCATGTCTTTCTGGCTGGTGACGTCACAGCGCCGGAACATGACATTTCCCGCGCCATATTTATCGGAGAGTTGTTTCAGTGTGGCTTCGCCTTGATTGGTGTTTATATCACAGAAACAAATCTGAAAAATGACAATTAATGTGATAAGTACCTCCGACAACAACGGTCCTCTCTGAATGGCAGTAAAACCTTGAGTCACACATATTTCTGTCACCACTACCTGAATATGCCTTCGTTAGCAGCGTAGTAAGTGTTAACATTTAAGACAGTTTTGCCAATAAATAAATAAATAATATTCCACACATCATGAAAAGGCATTTATCTTGAACATGCAGAAAGCTGCTTTAGCATGCAGACAAAAATTGCCATCAAGCTGTTAACATATATTTATTGTTTTAGAAATTACGGAGAAAATCCTGAATATCATAATCGCTAAATAAACCCTTGGAACGTTTAAAGTGCCCTTAACGACTTTTCAAAGCAATATGGATAAACAATACATTATTATAGATAATGGGTGCACAATGAGTGATACAGCTGTTGCAATTGGTGCATAGAAGAACAACCTCGATTCTACAAGGGGTCCAATACAAGTCTGAAGTCTGTTCATATGAGCAGCAGATGTATTACATGTATTTTGAAAGGTAATGGCATAACAAGATAAAACCAAAAACCCGATTTATTTCGAATTAGCTATTTTATAAGCCAAAATGAAATTGTATTTCGACATTTTAATATTGAAGTTTAATGAAATATTTAACGTGTACATTCGCTTACCCGGTAAACGTTGATCTTCTTTGATAGTCTTCACATTGATAGGTGTTTTTCGTTTAAATTTCATACATAGGGAACCTTATCGCCATTTGAATCCATATATTCGTTTATATAACAATAATCGTGCGGACGTTTCAATGAGAGATTCCCGGGAATCGTTTGAGCCCCTATTTTTGTCCATTTTTGACATTTTATTTCTTTATGATCGCTTTAAACATTTAGCTGTAACTTGATGAGTGATCAGATAGGATATTTTGCTATAACTACATTTAGAGGATAGTTAACTTATCATTTGATGTTGTACTTGAACCATTGACATTGATTAGTCTTGCAGAAATTTTAACCAAATTATATAATGAAGCAAGTGTACTCGCGTTCGTATTGTATCACATCTTTCTTTTAGTTAACAAAGCAGGCATAACATATCCATTCTGCGGTGTTTACGGGGTTAAAATGTCAGACCTGATGTACAGTTTTTGTAAGGTCTTATCTTCTAAGGTATTAAATCAACAACGTAATGCGATCACCTTTAAATCAAGTACACGATCCATGTCTGCTTAACCGAGTCACATTTTACGGGATTTGAAAACTGACGAAGGCTTTGTGTTATTTGATCGCTTTTCACCAAACTCATGAAACCTATCCAGTTACGTCCTATCAGTGAACTATTTGTATGGTATACAGAAACCCTACTTTCAGAGCGTGCCTGAAACCTATCCAGTTACGGTCCTATCAGTAAACTATTTGTATGATACAGAAACTCTACTTTCAAAGCGTGCCTGAAACCTATCCAGTTACTGTCCTATCAGTGAACTATTTGTATGGAACAGAAACCCTACTTGCAGAGCGTGCCTGAAACCTATCCAGTCACGGTCCTATGAATGAAATATTTGTATGATACAGAAACCCTACTTTCAGAGCGTGCCTGAAACCTATCCAGTTACGGTCCTATCAGTAAACTATTTGTATGATACAGAAACTCTACTTTCAAAGCGTGCCTGAAACCTATCCAGTTACTGTCCTATCAGTGAACTATTTGTATGGAACAGAAACCCTACTTTCAGAGCGTGCCTGAAACCTATCCAGTCACGGTCCTATGAGTGAAATATTTGTATGATACAGAAACCCTACTTTCAGAGCGTGCCTGAAACCTATCCAGTTACGGTCCTATCAGTGAAATATTTGTATGATACAGAAACCCTACTTTCAGAGCAAGCCTGAAACATATCCAGGTATGGTCCTATCAGTGAAATATTTGTATGATACAGAAGCCCTACTTTCAGAGCGTGCCTGAACCTATCCAGTTACGGTCCTATCAGTGAAATATCTGTATGATACAGAAACCCTACTTTCTAAGCGTGCCTGAAACCTATCCAGTTACTGTCCTATCAGTGAAATATTTGTATGATACAGAAACCCTACTTTCAGAGCGTGCCTGAAACCTATCCAGTTACTGTCCTATGAGTGAAATATTTGTATGATACAGAAACCCTACGTTCAGAGCGTGCCTGAAACCTATCCAGTTACGGACGGTCCTATGAGTGAAATATTTGTATGATACAGAAACCTTACTTTCAGAGCGTGCCTGAAAAGTAGGTTGAAGTGTTAAAATATTTTCAGATATACCGAGAAAAGCACATAGGATGGGTAATTATTTTATTAAAGGTATGTCTTTGTGAATGAAGTATATTCAAGCCTGGTTAGACTGCCGAACGTACCTTATGAAAGTACCTGACGAAATATTCTTCTATAAAGTCAATAATTTCTTGTTCAATCAACGTAACATCGACAAAATTAGTTATAAATACGCACTTTAGATATTCGTTAACGTTTCAGTTACCGTCTAGTTATCAAGATAATGACGTCTTAACATCTGGGTCATGTGTCACACCTAACTCGGTACAAAAATCGATATTGATACCCCCGGTCACTCTGTGTTTACGACTCCGGTATATCAGTCTGTCGAATTAAACACGTGTCAGAGGAAAAATCAAATTTACTTTTAATGTCTATAGACGTTTGATAATCTTATCTTTAATGCAAACATTGTCCGTTTGAGATATAAATATATAGTCCTCCTAAATGGTGGTAGGTTATTTCTGTAGTATACACAGATATTCAGGAACATGAACCACAATAGAAGTACTCTTAGTAAATACCAGAGGGGTATGACACGTACGGATACCCACCCCGTGGTCCGTATATATGTGTAATATGTATCAAGACACATGACACACATTACACATAATGCACTTGGGGTGACAATCTGAACGTGTCATCCCTATGGGGAAAAATTATAGTTCGCATGCAATCAGTGTGGAATTCCTTAAACAGAAGCAATTCACCACGACATAGCATTATATACATGCTTAGTACCTAACTACTATTCAATACATGATCGTCTTCACTAGCGTACATTTTATGTGAATATTCCACAAAATCGAAGGAGCTGTTACGTACATGTATGAGAAATAAACCGTGTTCATAGTTGTCAATTGATAAGACAATTCGGGCCATGTACTTTCAATATTTTTCACTCTTATATTTTACCCTAAAATAAATATTTTCTTTTAAAAAGACCGGGTTGCATAAGCCTACTCCTGTTACATCAACCCCTGCATACAACCAAGCATAACATCGGAAACGTGAGTTTCTACATGAACATAGTTATATAATAGGTGTGCGTGAGAACGAATTGTATACTTTAAGAGGTCGTGCCTCTCCAGCGCATACATGGTGAGAAATGACACGAAGTGGGTGTACATTTTAAGCACACATCTTTACAAGAGCCTTACGACTTTTTAAACAGTAACTGTCATTTGGATGAGGAACGTAACACACACACGTGATGGCACTTCGATAAAAATCTGTTTTCTATCATTCAAGAAGTTCGAATTAGAAAGTTACATTAAAGTCTTCGTGTGTTTTATTTTTTTATTTTTTTATTTCTTTTAATAATATCGGTTTTAAATTTACGAAGAAAGAAATATCAATAGCTATTTCATTATATTAATGAACAAACGAATATATTTCGTATTTTTAAAGCTGTCCAATAATACCGTGTTAGATACATGCCCCATTAAACAAAACGGTGGAATCTGGACGTCTGACATAAGTATATTCTGTATAATCTATAAAACATAACCACACAAACGGTGTTATCACACATAAGATTGGTGACAGGTAACCCGATACAAACCATAAATCCTTACTACGCTTGTAGGTTCTCTTGCGGAAAATACAAGATTTCTATGCATTGTGAATTTGTTTAGAAGCAAAGATTTCCGACAATATTAGGAATTGCTTTTGCTGGAGAAAAGTTAAATTCGACTTGTGATACTGCTATCATCAGAAGAACGATAAAGACAGTATTCCATAAATGGATCATTTATACCAAAGTGTTTTCCATCTTTGAACAGCTTACTTCTTGTCATCAAATTATAATTTACAAAATTCAAAGTAAATATAGTATATGCGATTGACACCTTGTCTAAAACATTGTTACAATAATCCTTTACCTAGATTTACTTTACCTAGATTTATAAACTACTGTGTTATATGGTGCTTAGGATAACTGTAGAGGTACAAGTACATACATTTAAAATCACATGCCTTTACATGTACCTAGATTAACGCTTCATGAACGTTACATTTGGCCTATAGCTAGAATTTTGCATGATGGAAAAAAGGTCACTAATATGTAATCGCAGGTAACGTAATTACTTTACAAATACTTGAGCAATATTGTGATATAGTTTACTAGTTGTACGTTTGTAACAATAATGTATCATGTAACATTATACATCTGCCTGGATTTAGTATGCAGTATTATGGTAATGGAGTCCATAACCTATGTGCACTGACCGTTGTTACAAATTCCTAGAACCTAGATTTATATATAACCGAGGAATGTAATGACGATTATTACTTACTACATTTAATGAAAATGTGTTCATCGGTATTTTAAAATATTTTACAGTATTACCTTATTTTGGCACTGAATCCGAACAAATAAATGTTCGTTACATAAGTATTACGTAAATAAAATATCTAGGCTAAGAAGTATTTATATTTGTTATTACTTCTTGCTAATATATAGATCAACACAAAGGAGAGGTCAACATAAGGTTTGTTTGTACATGGCGCTTCAGTGTTAATGTCGACACGGTGAGTTATTCTCCCAAAATAATAATAATAAAGTGCTAAACAATTACCAAAAAGTCTGAAATAAACAATTTAGGAACATTCTGAATACATACGAGACGAGCTAAAGCAAGAGAGAGGCAAATGTTAGCGATTTGATTTGTTCGTCAGTGTTAAGAACAAACAATACCAACAATAATGGTATACTAGGTGGGTGTACAATGGATAACAACGATTGACTTCTGTATCTTTTTACGGTATAAGCATTTACTGTTGACTTAACTGCATGACCTTATATGACCATATACACAAGTAGTTATATATAGGAATTTACATCATTATCCACGCTTCCCGTTCTTTATATATTAATGGTCCATCAAGGCATGCTATTGCACAACAGTCCGGAATCGAATTGTAAAAATAACAAAAACAGTGTATCAATCTACTTCTGAAGCGGAACTTCATGAACAATAAAGATGTCGTCACTCCTACATAAAATGAATGACATATTTCTGTTGTATCATAATTAATGTGAACAAAACACAACGCATTTCCTTAGCGAATACTTAACATATTTTTGTATACATACCATATATACATAACATGCATACCTTCTTTCGCTGTCTTTAAAAACAACCAGAACAAAATATCGAATGGACACGCATCTAATGCATATACTTATGAAGCAAATCAAGTAGTCAACAATGACAAAATGTTTAGTTCTACAACGGGGTACACGGTGCCCAATGTTACGTCCTACGAATTGATTAGATATGTTATATGTTGTAATTGTTTAAATAACTTAAATCACGCTGAATATGTCGTTGTATGTTAACAATGTGATGCAAATGTAGGGCAAAATACACGTATAACCATATGCTCATACGAAATCTTTAACTCGTTTGTCAAAACTTCAATTCTTGACAAGTGTATATAAACAATATTTGCACAGCTCAATTAGGCACATGTGGTTTATGTCTTTAAGGTATATGTTCAAAATCATAAACAAGGCATATCAGTTATCTGTTAGACTGAAACTCGTCATTTTTTTCAAATTTACGATCATGGTTACGATGATTAACAGGGAAATGAAGAAACATGTAATTGTAAGTTTATTATTATTTAACTAACAGCACGCCAAAGCCAATTCTGGCAAACGTCATGGGAACAGTTCAAATATATGTGAGACACCAATGATAATTTAATGTTGCATACAAGCAATCGTTTACAAATGGTCTATTGTTCCTTCTGACTGTTTCTCGCAGACAATACTTACTTACTTAGCCAGTTTGTTTGAAATTTGGAAAGTTAGAGATTGCAAAGTCATACAGGGAGCTGATGTCGACATGTGTCACACGTGATGAGGAAATTAAGTATCCCCCATACACAATGTGTTTTAAATGAATTATATATGTAAACAGTGTCAGACACGCGTCAGCCTACGATTTTCAAAAACCTATTAATACCTATATCTAATGTTGAAGATTGGAATTACCTTAAATTTCCCGAATACAAACGGACGAAACACCATCAATAGGTGGTAAATATTTTAACAGCTTCTATACACATCTTCATTGTGTTCAAATCTATTGTTACGTGTGATTTGTTACCCAAGATTCTGCCCAAGGTATCGGGATTTTCTGGATAGATGCCTCCAGTTTTTGACCAACGAGCTACTCAGCCAGGGTTTCCTACCCACAAATATTCAATCTACAGTAAGGTTAATCGGGTCGTAAGTATGATGATATTCCCAACTATGTTAAAGATGTGTTAACCATGGCTTGGATCACTGGTGAATCTGACCTTTGTGTTCCTGAATTCTCAATTCTCGTTACTTTGTACTGTCACCATTTGTACTCATTTCCCATCGTGTGACACTGCATAACCCCTGTGGCTGATAAACCGTTAACAGCCAGCAATCAGTCATAATTATTTCAATGAATATGTGACCTATATGGAAAAGTCCTACACGTGTACGAGGATCACCGTACGGTCCCTCCCTGCGTACAATATCTCGTATTAGCTGTAAAATATTTGATTTAATACACCTTCCCTCTAACGAAACAGAAGGCATATATTATTTTTATCTGATCTTACCTATTTCTATTTTGGTTTAATGATTTATCCCTGTGTAACACCTTATGGGGATTATAACAATCGTTTAGGTAGCATGGAAACCAAGCTTTCATTTCGATTTTACGAGTTTTCGAGTACGTATGCTCCATAAAATCCACGTTTACTAGTAGTTAACCAATTGTTTATGAACAAAAATGGTGGGGTTTTTTTATCGTTGTCCGGTTTTAAAGAATTGCGTCGTAGTTATGATTGATAGCAGTGCTCAGAGGTAATTTGTTTTTTCTTATGACGTAAGGCATCTCCGAACGCTAAAAGCTATCAGAGAAGTGGGTTTAACATTCACTAATCTAAGTCAGTATAGTGGTATAAACATTGAAGACGTGTGGATAAATTATTTGAAACGCAGATCCTGGAAGTGCTCGTTTGAGGGCACCATTGATAGGTCTACGTAATTAAGTTAAGAATTATAATTCACGACGGTAACCTCTGTGGACACATTAAACTTATACATTATTATTCATCATTAAATCTACATTATGACATCGTCTCGGAAATTGATATCATCATTTTATTTTAAGATATATTATAGATCATTTTCCCTCACGTTTAAATCTTGTTATGATATTTAAAGCTGAAAATAACATTGAAATAAATGTTTGGAATGCAATCAGTACATCTTTGTAACCATATCAAGTGCGAGACCCATAAATGTGTGCATTTGGCCCAGGCTGTTAGATACTGAGATATCTGTTTATGTATATAGCATGTTACTTCTTGCAACAGTCGTCGTGTACTATAAGTAAATTTATAAAACAAAATATCCCGTCTGATTGATCAAATGCCATACAAACTCAGGGACATGAGAAAATAGTGTTCTGCATTTTGCATAACTTTCTAATAGAGCACACACACACACAAAAAAAAAAAAAAAATCGATGAACACAATTTTCAGATACAATAAAAGTGGCGTTGACTCAGTTTTAGTAAATGTATACAAGCTGAATATACCATTAAACGGTACAAATATAGTAATATATCCATTTTGCAATGTATAACAATTGCACCGGTGTTGTTGTTTTGATATGTTCGCGTGTTGTAGCTGCTGATAGTGATCGTTTAAGATTTAAAACCATACATCGCATCATTATGTTCTATGTATAAACATTACATGTAATCCTAGACCAACTCATCCATACACAGCGAGTCTGTCGTTATATCTAATACTCTACAATTTTACCAAATGTAAACAATGGGGCAATCGATTTTCGAGGATGTATCGTGCGTGTGTTGGCAATGACTCGGCTTGGTAACCCATCTCCCGAATCCTACATCTCGACCTCTTTGGTACTATGCCAGCTGTGAAACAAGATAGTCCCTCCAGAAGATAGTGATGCGTGTTTGGAGTTTAATCAACCTGGCTAAAACATCATTATTTGTTTGTATACATATTACGACATCTACCTGGTTAGTTGCGATTCTACTTTCCATGGTGAGAACACCGAGTGCGTGGTCATACATACAAGAAACCCAACACCACTGAAAATAAATAACGAAATATTCCTCACTATCAAAAATCAACCCAGTTGTTAGTTTTATACAGTAGCCACGTAAAGGAACATAAACCGGGAGTATCTAGCTGACGTGAAAAGTATACATCCGCAGTTGACATATTCATAGCTTACCTTCGCCCCTTTGTCGAGTAGTGCTTGCACAAATGCATATCCGAGACCCTGAGCACCTCCCGTCACCAGCGCAACCTTGCCTTCTATCTGCATTCCGCGAGCTCCTTTCACGTGTTGTAACGGAAAACAGTAAGTTCGCTGAGCGAATGTCTCTGGCGCGAGCGATTGATTCAATTTCTGCCTTTGCCTGGCTTATAAATAGAGAGAGAGTCCTATATTCGCTACGTGTGTGTGTACCGCGCTGCCGTATTTTATAGTTTTACCGACTACTACATTCATAAACTACTGCGACGTCTACCGTGATGTTGTGTGTATAAGTATGTGATCCCGGCCCTGTATTGTATATATATGTGGGTGGGTGACACCCTGCCTTCTATTTAATACCTTAATACCAGTCAACTGTCATTGTTTCACATCCATCACATACAGCGAGTTTCGACTTTGTTAATGTCAGGAAGGAACAGGATGCGTTACTTGAAACCAGATTATGATCAGGCATTTTGTCTGTCAAGTTTTAGTTTCACAAAAGCGATGTTTAATCATGGATATTTTCCATACCAATGTACCTAAAGAATAACTTGTTAAAGGGCATACACCCTATCGTCTTTCCAATATCTGTCTTACTATAAAATGTACATAAGTTTGCTGTAATATAACTTTGTTGAAATGATTTTTTTTTTTTTAATTTTCAGAGCAAAATGAAAAACTTTCAAAATCATGAATACCATAGTAAAATAGGAAATCCTACACCACAAATCCATCGAAGATAACAAACTACCGTACCACAATACAAAAATACCCTAATTTTTCCTTACAGGCTTTTCAACTATTCACAAATTCTACATCTTTATATGACATAAGAATAAATCTGCTTTCAGCAAATATGGCCAAAACAATGGACATATAGTAACTGGCAACCCTAATAGTATCCATACGAGAGACCCCTAGTGTCAATTAGATTGTGGATATCAAGATACTAATGGCTTATGTGAAAGATTACTCATTACAATGGGCAAAATGGGCGCATGCTGAATTAAATCTACTTTCAAACTGGGTGAAATTGAAATCAATCAGATCCCTAATTCTAAAAAGAATAAGCAGCTTGAAATCCAAAACGAAAATCAAAAATTGTATTTTATTAATCCTGATGTCCACGTTACTTAATATGACATGATAAGTATCTGTATTGGCAGACAAAGCATCTAATATATCGAAAACAACAAATCTTGCTTGGTTACCAAGGAAACCCTTCCTATGTAAAGTTAATGATACATTTTTCAATTTTAAGAAATACGAAATACTAGCTTAACATGGCTATGAATTACAATCTTTCCTAATACCAGTCAGTGATAAGGATACGTGTATTCTGATACTTTATAAGAATCCTTCAAATCAATATGTTATCGCTTCCTCTGCTAGCTGGTCAGCAGCGTATTGTTTCCCCTTTTATTACAATTGAATCAGGGTAATATTCTTATTATGACATGGTATACTTCAGACTTGCAATTAAATGGGATGTGGATTTTGATCAATCTTAAACTTTCTTTCCTCAAAAAGGTTTCTTCAATCAGAACACTTTTTTATTTGTTTCATCAGATTTTTATTCTTTACGTACAATGTACCAATAACAAACTGAAGGAACGCCTTCGTTCTCTCACTAATACGGCTTACTCTCCCAAGTAAGATAAACAACAGCGTTTCTGGGGCTTATTTGGTAAAACACGACAAAAGCCGTAACTAAATATGCAGAAAATGATTGAGTTCCTGGTTGACAATGTCAAGATATTCAGCATATTGTTAACATACCAATAGATACAAAATGTACCTAATGTTTGGCCCACTCGTTATGGGGTTTTTCATCACATGCTTAATGTATCGAAAAGCTTATCGGGACAGGTAACAAATACCTTGCCAGGTGGTCACAATTTTTAAAATCCTTGCTTTACTCCTTGTATGTCTAGTGATTATGTTGGTCAAAAGACTATTGAAACTGCAGGGGGACCATCAATCCTCGAGATTGGCTGTAGTCATTTAGCTGAATCTATCCTGGCAGGGTTTACGTAAAATATTGATATAAGTATAAATTACCTGATGTAGTCAAAAGTTGTAACTCTTTATTGTTTTATAAAGGGTTTTATAAACACCTTTTTTCTATGTTTCGGAATTGAACAAATAAGTCTGATTTTTAGTAATTTTGGGTATGACTGCAGAGTGGAACACATCTTTACTGAATAATAACAAAACAATAAGTACACCTTTTTAGAGTTAATAAAAAAGATATCGCAATATTTTCTGTAATATAAGTGTATCGCGATACAGGCAAACGAAACGATTCGATACGATACACAAAAAAGTATCACGATACGATATATCATTTCTGCCCTAGTAATCAACGTTGAAATCTATTCAGAGTGTAAGATTTTGCCTGCGTAATTTATTTTTGCTAGGTGAGCACCTCACACCCCTTTGCGGAAGCCCCCTCTCCTTCCGGGGTTTCTCCCTGATATTGTATATACATATCTGTATGTCAGATGTTAATGTTGATAAAGAATAGAGGCACGTGTGCACGAGTGGTACTTTGCTGGAACTGTCTTGTTAGCTTACTGTTTCGATAACAACTTATTTACAAGTTTTTTCAACATATCAACATTTAATGTCGTTTATGTTTCTTACCGTCAGTTTCAGTAACACAATTTCCCCTGTGTAATATATTTCAGTTTTAACTTTTATAAACTATCGTAGTTTCATGTTCAATTGTGCAAACTTTACAGGGTTATGTTATCATGCAGTTTAACTTAGCTTTGGGGAAAAGTGAGAACGAACGAATTCGCAATGCCATTTATAAGTTCTGATTTACTTTTGGTACTACAGAGCATTAAGAACTGAACTTTGAAAGAAAATCTCAATTCAAAATTTGATACTTCACTAATTAGACTATAAAAACCAGTATGATATTTTTTTATATTGGCTATCCGATTATGAAGCAGTTCTTACGTTGCAGCCGTATATGTGTGAGCTACCTTGAAAAAAATAGCACTACCAAACTCCATACTGTCCAACCTTCGATACGTATACAATGCAATGGTCCCAAGGATGAACGGGAAGGAGAAATAATACCTTATCCCAAATTAAAACAGTTTATATATACAAATATGTCACACTTGCTTTCTTGCTTACGCATGAAGACAACCATAGTCTATAACATACAACACACCATTCAATGTTGAACATAATATGAGCTTCATACTAGTGACACTTCGTACTAGTGACACTTCGTACTACACTTCGTAATAGTGACATTTCGTACTACACTTCGTACTAGTGACACGTGACACTTCGTACTAGTGACACTTCGTACTACACTTCGTACTAGTGACACTTCGTACTACACTTCGTACTAGTGACACTTCGTACTAGTGACACGTGACACTTCGTACTAGTGACACGTGACACCTCGTTCTAGTGACACTTCGTACAAGTGACACTTCGTGACATTCTCAATTTTTGACCTTATACTAAAGATAAAGTATGGATAAGTATCTACCTGTAACCCGTTTGATTGAATGATTTCTTTGCTTGTTTTCTTATTTCATTGTTTTTTGTCTTCAATTTTCGTCATAATTCGTTCATCTTTTTCGTGGCTTCTAATGACGTTTATGTGTCGATGAGCCTTTAAACCCTGAACAGCATGGGTTTTCTCCTGGTACTCCGGTTTCCTCCCGCACTAAGACCCTCCCCCGCGCTAACATCCGGGCCAACAAGAGTGATTGATATAGGTTGAAATAACTTATTTCATAATTGTTGTTAAAGAAATAAAGTTTACATGTAAACCATGAACAAACAATTTAAGCGATATAATTTGTTCACTGAAAAGATTTTTTATGAATTTCAAGTCATTCATCGCAGTTGTAAAATACTACGACAGTGTTAGCGAAAACAAGGAGGTCTGATGTTTCCCATTACAGGAGTGCGTGGGGCGACCAATGTGTTGACCTCTGCAGAATCAATGTTTGGATTCTCTTTGGCCTCTCCTTACTGGACAATTTCTTCATTAACCGAATTACTTTACCTCGTTGTCTTTCTTGGCAGTTCTCTCCTGTATCCCTACATAGCAATATTGTGTTGATGGGCGACTTAATGCAACTAAATCCACCACAGCCAGATCAAATATGGAAGACACCGGCTTTGCAGCCTTCTTCCTCAACAAATAAAAAAAAACCCACAAAAAACAAACATTAGTCATTCCTTGTTATGAACCTAATTGATTTAATACGACGGTTCTTTTTGTTCCAAAACCTTGCGAGGCGGTACGGTATTAGGAGATTTGATGAAGACAATATGACGGTTAACTGTTCAACACATGTTCCAGATGTTGTGTAATACTAAAATCCTTCTAGTGCTGACAAACAAGTCCTAGTTTACTGGCATACAACCAGAAATATATGATTTGCTGTATTGCCATTTCCTTGAACTTTATTTTGACCTGTCGGAGCGACAGTAACACTTGCATGTTCGTGAACAACTACGTGCTAGTATCCGTGCAGTAACACACCTTAACGTGTAACGTGTCTACGTTGACCTTTTGATATATAACTACTATATATCATGTTAGAAGCACACACGAAAGGCGCTTTTTTCAAGTAGGTAGACAGGTTTAATAAATACACAGCCAGTGGTGCAAGTGTATATATTACACTGAATATGTATAAACTTCTGCCGAGATAACATCATTGTGAACAAAAGATAAATTATTTAATTTTCGGAGCGACTTGCTCCTGTTTTCAAAACAATACGATTGTAATGTACATTGACGTGACACTTCATTTAAGACTGTTTGTCCTCAACAGTTCAATTCTTATTAATACGGTGAACACATTTCGGGGTCATTCAATGACATGACATTAACCCTATGGGGGTAGCATCAGGCACCGAAGCATTCACTTTGTTCACTCTATAGACTAATGTATCGGTTTGTGGTAATCTGATTAGCAGGTATTGTTATACAAATGTATTAACTCATTCACCCCTGAATACACATTTGAACCCTTCCAATTCAAAGGTTGGAATAGTTTAATATGAAATTTCAGGAGTGAATGAGTTAAGGAAATCTCAATCAAATTTTGACAATGAATATCACCAGTCGCCCTAGATTACCTTCATCACGTTCTCTGTAACAACATTGGTAGACAATCAATAAGATTTAGAATGTCATTGTTGATAGACATTTATATTTTTTATTGTTAATAGTCATTTGGAACATAAGCGAGTTTCATAAGTAACCTATAAAATAGAGGATAGATGTTTGATTGAAGACACAATCCAAACAAAGATAGAAACTGACACCTTTTACGAAAGTAGTAAACAGAAAACATAAT